ATCGATTTTTCCAAGCACTGAGTTTCTTTTTGAAGTTTTCGATCAAATCTTTCCAAAAGCCCAATCGTCTTGGATTACCTCCCACCTTTATTCCTAGGTATTTGAAAGGCAAAGATCCCAGTTGGCAATTAAGAAGGAATCCCATCTTCTTTAGCCAATTAGTGTCTGTATGAATCCCCATAAGCTGGCTTTTTCTGTAGTTGATCTTCAATCCAGAGACAATTTCGAAGGTCCTTAAAATGCACTTTACTGCCCAAAGGTTATCTTCGGTAGCCTTCCCGCAAATCAATGTATCGTCTGCAAATTGTAGGTGAGTGACCCTGAATCTTTGTGTCCCGACTTCGATTCCCTTTAGCAATTCTCGGCTAACAATTGTACTGATAAGTCCATTCAACCCTTCAACTGCTATGAGAAATAGAAATGGAGATAAGGGATCACCTTGGCGAAGACCTCTACTAACTGAAATTTGTCGCGTGGCAGAACCATTAATAAGAAAGGAGACTGTACTGGTGGATAGACATTCCATGATCCAATTTGCCCACTTGTCACCAAACCCCATTTTTAAGCATGTAGTTGAGGTAGCTCCAGCTAACCTTGTCAAACACTTTTTCAAAGTCAAGTTTGAGTATAAAACTACTTTTCCTCCTTCTTTTGGGTTCATCAATCACTTCATTGGCAACCAGGACCCCATCAACCAATAGTCTATCCTTGACAAAGGCAGTTTGTTGAACCCCAATCACGCTACCCATTACCAGCCTTATCCTATTAGCTAGTAACTTTGCAATGATTTTGTACATGGAGCCTATAAGAGATATGGGCCTAAAATCTTCAATTTTCTGGGGGTTGGATGTCTTTGGAATCAAGACAACAAATGAAGCATTAAACCCTTTTACTAGCTTCCCATTTGTGTAGAATTCATCAGCAAACCCAATGATGTCCTGCTTGATTACCTCCCACATCTCCTTGAAGAATTTGAAATTAAATCCATCCGGACCTAGGGCTTTGGAGCTATCACAATCCCAAACAGCTTTGTAGATTTCCTCTTCAGAAAATTTAGTAGAGAGCATGCATGATTCAACTTGGGAGATTTTATTGAAATGGATGCCATCAAGTGTCGGCCTTTCCCATCCTTCATCTTTGAACATGTCTTCAAAGTAGTTGGCTACTCCTTCTTTTACCTCATCCACTTCAGTCAACTGTTGACCCTTCACTTGAATGCAGTTGATTTTGTTTCTTCTTTTTCTCCCTCGGACACAACGATGAAAAAATTGTGTTGTTATCCCCTTCTCACAGCCATGTCTTTCTGGATTTTTGCCTTAAGATTCCTTCCTTGATTCTCATGCATTTTCCCAAATCAGTAAAAGCCTGTTTTCTTTCCATAATTTCTTCTTCTGTTAACTGTTGTAACTCCCCTCTTAGATCTAGATCTTCAATTCTCTGCTTAGAGTAAGAAATTTTTGACTCTGTTTCTGAGTTGAATTTGGTACTCCATTGTTTCAAAGATTTCTTTAAGACTTTTAATTTTTCCTTGAGACAATAACCTTTCCATCCCTGAACCTTCACAGAGGTCCAAGCTTGGGTTAATAGATCTTTAAGGTCGTTAGATTCCCACCATGCATCGTAGAAACGGAAGGGCTTGGGTCCCCAGTCCTTACACTGATTTTTCAATAGAATTGGGTAGTGATCTGAACATGATCTAGCAAGACACCATTGCTTCATATCAGGCCAAGTAGACAACCAATTTTCAGAAAAAAGAGCTCGATCAAGCCTGCTCATTGATTCTCCATTTGATTTGTACCAAGTATAATTCCTCCCTATTAGTGGTAGGTCAATTAAATTCAATTCATTGATGAAATCACAGAATTCTCTCATCTCACTGGATAAGGATTTGCAACCCTTCCTTCCATGTTGGCTTTTAATTGCGTTAAAATCACCAAGTATACACCAATTCCCACTAGCAGAAGGTGAGACAAGATTACTTAACTCTTCCCACAATAATCTTTTACTCACTAACTCACAAGGAGAGTAGATATTGATGATGAAAACTGGAACTGCATTTCTACCCCAAAAACCATAAACACCCAGAAAATTGGTCCCCTCAAGAACTGTTTCTTTGCAAAAAAAAAAAAAAAAAA